CATGCACATGATACTGATTCTACCGCATACAAAATGCAAGCATTATGAGGTCATCAATGCCTGCTACTAAGATTTCAAAGGAAAGAGCACAAAGTCAAATAGAAGTTTGTCAGATGCTTGGACACCCTGAAGAGAATACCTAATAAAGTAAGGACTAATGCAGTTGAAGAAGTTCTATTCACATTGTCTTAAAAAACAATAAAATACTTACAGATTAAAATAGTCATTACCAATGAAAGAATTATGTAACAAAAGCTCTGAAATATTTCTGAAAGAAACTGAAGAAAACATTAAGAACACTTAACACTGTTTTCAGTACTATCCAATGTTAGCTACAGATTTAATTTAATCTCTATCAAAATACAATGTTTTCAACAGGAACCAATATACAAGGACACGTGCACCTCCATGTTTATTGCAGCACTGTTCGCAATAGCTAGGATATGGAAACAACCTAGATGCCCCACCACAGATGAATGGATCCAAAAATTGTGGTATCTATACACAATGGAATATTATGCAGCCATTAGAAATGACAAAATAATGGCATTTGCAGGGAAATGGATGGAGCTAGAAGGAATCATGTTGAGCGAGGTAAGCCAAGAACGAAGAGACAAACGGTACATGGTCTCCCTGATAAGTGGATGCTAAATCCAAAAGGTTAGGTGATACGACAAAACTAACAGGACTTAAGAAACAAAGAACTCCCGCTCATCTGGTTGAACCACTACTAAATATCCCCATGCAGCTGATCACAAATATGGTATATAACATGTGAACACTGTTATATATTACAGACTGTGGTAGACAATTTGCTCCAGGGAAGTTAGAATGAACTTGTGACTTTGAAATTATGTAATCATTTAATCACAATCAAAAAAAAAAAAAAAAAGAACCTTGGGGAAGGGAGGGAGGGAGGGGATGGTAGGGGGAAAACAATGGAGGGGGTAACAATGTTCAAGAGGAAGTGTACTCATTACCTCACTCATGTAACTGTAACCCTCTGTATAGTAGCTTTACAATAAAAAATAAATAAATAAATAAAAAAACAAAAACAAAATACAATGTTTTGATGTAGCTATAGAAAAACCAACCCTAAAATTCTTATGGAATCTCAAAGGATTCCAAACAGACCAAACAATCCTGAAAAACGTGAGCAAAGTCATAGAATTCATACTTTCTGATTTCGAAATTATTACAAAGCTGTAAGTAATCAAATAATGCAGTTCTTGTGTAGAGACAGACACAAACACCAACACAACATAGTAGAGATTCTAGGAATAACCCCTGAAAAAAAATATAGTCAAATGATTTTTTTACAAAAGTGCCATGGCAATTCAATGGAAGAAGACTCTTTTTAACAAATTATGCTCAATAAAACTGAATATCTATATAAAGAAGAATTAAGATGGATCTTTATCTATTAAAAATTAATCCAGGGACTGGGAAGGTGGTTCAGTGGTAGAGTGCTGGCCTCGCATGCATGAGGCCCTGGATTCGATTTCTCAGCACTACATAAAGCAGAAAAAGCTGGAATGGTGCTATGGCTCAAGTGGTAAAGCGCTAGCCTTGAGCTGAAGAGCTGTGGGACAGTGCTCAGGCCCAAAGTTCAGGCCCCAGGACTGACCAAAAAAAAAAAAAAACAAACAAATTAACCCAAAAGCGATCTGGACAGTGCTTGTTTAGAAAGCATGGGTACCTGAGAGATCAAACTCTAGTAGTACAAAACAACAGTAACAACAACAAAAATGCTTATCATGAAACATAAGGGAAATGTGTCATGACCACAGATTTTGGCAATATCACCTAAGTATAGGTGATAAAAAATAGACAAGCTATAATTCAAAAATACCTTCAACTTTGTATATTAAAAATACTCTTAATAGAAAGGCTTGGAAAAAATTATATTAAGTGAAGTAAGCCAGGCCCAAAGAAACATAGGTCCCATAGTTTCCCCTATTTGCAATAACTAGTATATGTCTGAATCAAGCAGAATATGTCAGATAAGTTGATGTTAGGGAAATGAACCCTAAGATATATATTCAAATGTTTTTTTTCTTTCATGTGATTGTTTCTAACACATTTATAAGATTATTTCTTTGTTGCTTTGTATATCCCTCCCTCACAGTATAACCCCTGCTTTCACTGTATTTGATGTTGTTATAATTTGTGGAGGGGAAGGGAAAAAACAAATCGTTTAAATAGGGGTACAGGTGGACCCATTGCAACAATGAGACATACAAGTTGTTATGTCGAAAACGAACTTTACAACTTTGGTGGGGGAGGGAGGATGGGAAGGGATGGGAAGGGGAAACAAAGGAGGAGGCTACAATGCTTGATAAGAAATGTACTCATTATCTTGCCCTTGTAATTGTAACCCCTCTTATTTTCACACTAAAAATAAATAAATAAAAGATGATGTAAAATGAAATAAACCCCAAGATATGGACACACACACAAAAAAAAAAATACTCAAGCTGGGGGCTGGTAGCTCATGCCTTTAATACTACCCACTTATGACTGAGATCTGGATGAATCTGATTCAAAGTCATCTAAAAAGAAATGTTTGCAAGAATCTACCTGCAAAATAACCAGTAAGAAGCAGAGCATGCTCAAGTGGTAGAGTACTAGCAAAGTAAGCAACCGAAACAGGTCAAGATCCTGAGGTTAAACTCCAATATCAGGAAAATGAAACAGAACAAACATACTTTTGGTGAAGTTAAAAATAAATAAATAAAACAAAAACAGCAACAAAGAATTAAAGAGAATGTTTACAAATCATATACCAGAAATAAGAGATTATTCAAACTGGTACTGATGGCTCACATCTGTAATCCTAGCTACTCAGGAGCACTGAGATCTAAAGATTGTGGTTCAAAGCCAGCCCAGGCAGGGAAGTCTTAGGACTCTTTTTTTTTTTTTTTTTTTTTTTAAGGACTGACACTTTATTTATTTATTTAATTTTATTTAATTTTTTTTTAATTTTTTTGGTCAGTCGTGGTGCCTGAACTCTGGGCCTGGGTGCTGTCCCTCAGCTCTTTAGCTCAAGGCTAGGGCTCTACCACTTGAGCTGCAACACCACTTCTGGCTTTTTCCTGTGTATGTGGTGCTGAGGAATCGAACCCAGGGCCTCATGCATGCAAGGCATGCACTCTTCCACTGAGTCACCTTCCCAGCCCAGTCTTAGGACTCTTAACTCCAATTAAATGAGAGAAAGGAGGCATGGAGGGAGAGAGAAGGGGGGGAGAGTGAAAGCCAAAAATGAAGCTACAGGAGAGGGAGAAGGAGAAGGAGAGGAAGAGCCAAAAATAAAGCTAAGCCCTTTAAAAAGCTCAGAAATAACACCCAGGTGCTGAGTTCAAGCCCGAAAACCAACACAAAAAAGAGACAGTCAGAGAGAAAGAGAAAGATTATCCTAGTCCACTTGGGGCTCTATAACAAAATATTCTTTACTGACTCAAATTACAATTTTAGCATAGAGGGCAATTATTTGATAAACTTATTACCTCAAAAAGAAATTTAGGTTTTGTTTCACATCATATTGGTTTCATGTTTGGAGGGTATAGAGCACTGAGAATACAGAACTAACAAGAATTAGCCTTAAGAGCTATCTAAATTGTGAATGAATAAAATATCATTTTAATGATCAGTTTGCCTTAGAGCCCCAATCATCACATGTAAAATACTGTGCATCATGTCAAAGATTTTGGTTTTGAAGATACACGGAGGCTTATTACTTGTTCCATCTTTGTTTCTGCTGAGCATCTTAGATTTTTTTTTTGGCTTGGTCTGATTGTATGCATTATTTTCTTTTCACATTATATTCTTTACATTATTTCCTTTTATTAAGAAACACATTTGGATAGGCCTTTTATCCAATATTTTGTGTTGAAAAACCAAACCAACAGATGATTTGCTCCATTCAAAAACGTATGTGTCAGTACTTCCTAAGTATACTAATACCAACTTGCTGTGACCATCTCCATCATCTACAAAGCCACTATCCCAGGTTCACTTCCAGGATGGACATATATATGACTGTTGAGCCATGTGGCCTGCCCTACATTACACCTTTTATAAAATATTTTATGACATGTCTAATAAATGTAGTTTCACTCAGACAGCAGACAATGAACACATCAACCTTTTCCATGGCAAGAAACTAAATTCATACTTTTACTGGCTTACTACTAAGTTCAGTCCCAACTTAAAAAACCAACAACAAAATTTTAAAAAATTTGGGGCTGGGAAGGTGGCTCAGTGGTAGGGCGCTTGCCTTAGATGCATGAGGCCCTGGGTTCGATTCCTCAGCACCACATAAGCAAAAAGAAAAAAGCCGGATATTGCACTGTGGCTCAAGTGGTAGAGCGCTAGCCTTGAGCTGAAGAGCTGAGGGACAGCGCCCAGGCCCAGAGTTCAGGCCCCACGAACGGACCCCAAAAAAAAAAAAATTTAAAAATTTAAGGAAAAAAGGAAGACATACTGAGCTGAAAATGATCAATCACTTCAATATGGCTGCAGAGGACAGCGTTTTAAAAGCAAAGTGCAGCCGGGCGCCAGTGGCTCACACCTGTAATCCTAGCTACTCAAGAGGCTGAAATCTGAGGATCACAGTTCAAAGCCAGCACAGGCAGGAAAGTCCCTCAGACTCATCTCCAATTAACCACCAGAAAACCAAAAGTAGCGCTTGGGGCTCAAGTGGTAGAGCACTCACCTTGAGCTGAAGAGCTGAGGGACAGCACACAGGCACAGAGATCAAGCCCATGACCAACAATAAATAAATGAATAAATACATAAGCATTCCAGTCTCCATCTCAAAGAATCTAGCAAGCCCACTAAAATATTAATGTACCAAGTAAAACAGTTAAGCAATGCTTCTTGTGAAAAAAGAGTTAATTTCTATAAATTGAAAACCTAAGAACACTAAAATGTCAAAAACATAAGCCAAAAGTCCTATACACACATCAGCTCTTCAATGTGAAGTTATTTTAGATACTTACCCAAGTCGTCCTAACATCTCAAGTTCAGGAACTTGTGGTCCACATGTCTCTATCTGCAATGGCTGGTATTCATATAGAGCTTCTTCCAGCTTATGAATAGGTGCTAATGAAATATGTTGGCCCTGTCAGAAAAAATTAAGGAAATGCCTTTTAGTATTACTTTCATCTTGTTAAGTATTTGCATTTATATTAAAGATGCAATAAATTACTTACTTTAAATAATACACATGGGAACTGTAGGGAAAAACTGGGAAAGGGTGAGTGAAAGGGTGATATTGTCCAAAAAGAAAAATGTACTCATTACCAGACTTATTACCAGACTTATGTAACTGTAACACCTCTGCACAGTAGATATATAGTAGAGATATATATATGTATATATATATATATATATATATATAGTGTGTGTGTGTATATATAGTAACAATTTTTAAAATTCACCAAAAAATAATAAATAAATATAATAGATATAGGGCTGGGAAGGTGGCTCAGTGGTAGAGCGCTTGCCTTGCATGCATGAGGCCCTGGGTTTGATCCTTAGCACCACATAAGCAAAAAGAAAAAAGCCAGAAGTGGCACTGTGGCTCAAGTGGTAGAGCGCTAGCCTTGAGCTGAAGAGCTGAGGGACAGCGCCCAGGCCCAGAGTTCAGGCCCCACGAACGGACCCAAAATAATAATAATAATAATAAGATATAGCCAGGGTGGATATTTTGAGTAGTACTAACATTCATATTTCAAAATATCCTCTTCATAAGCTGCTAGGCACTAAATTCTCCTGCTATATGTTAGCTGCTAGGCAATAAATTCTCCTTGCTATAAGATTTGAAAAGTCCAGTATTGGTGTCAAATGTTTAAGCTGGAGAAAGATGGAGAAGAGAGAAAGAAAAACAAAAACCTGCAATAATTTAAAAAACTACTAAAACCCCACTAACTCCATTTCCACTTTGGAAATTAAAAAGCAAAACCCAGAAAAGGATGACACAACTAGGCATTTTCTTTTTTTTTCTTTTTTTTTTTTTTGGGGGGGGGGGGGGTCTGGTCGTGGGACCTGAACTCTGGGCCTGGGCGCTGTCCCTCAGCTCTTCAGCTCAAGGCTAGTGCTCCACCACTTGAGCCACAGCGCCACTTCCAGCTTTTTTTCTTTTTGCTTATGTGATGCTGAGGAATCGAACCCAGGGCCTCATGCATGCAAGGCAAGCACTCTACCACTGAGCCACCTTTCCAGCCCCCAGCTAAGTATTTTCAAAAGCTGAAATGTTTTTCAGCAAAAATAATATTCAATAAAAACAAGACAATGCCTTAAGTCATTCCAGTGGTAAACACTACATTAAAGCCAGTCATTCTCTAAATATTATCAGCAATACCCAGTCACTGAGTTGTAACGTCATATACTTCAAAGTCTTTCTGAAGTTTATAGACATAAGATTCTCTAATAATAATTTTACAACATTTACTCTATTGCAGGCATTATTACAAGGACTTTTTAAATGCATTACTTCATAGTATTCACAATAATTTTATGATAAGTACTGCTATTTCTCCAGGTATCATCTACTTAGACAGGTTGAGGATCCGAAACAAGTTTATCAAATTCCAAAGCCTATGTTGTTTCCCCCTGGCTCTCCCTTTTTATGGATATAGAAACTAGTATTCCCAAAATACAAATTTTCCTAAGGTCACATATAGTCAGATCTCCTAATCCCTGTTCAGTGTGGTTCTACCCTTCCAATATCTACCTTCCAATATCCTATTTTTAGAGAATTTGCTCACTTTAAATTTGCTCAATTTAAAAGTTTAATGTCAAGAAGTAATTCAATGTGGGTTAAATTAAATTATCATACAAATTAGAATAGCTCAGCAACTAACAACACTACAGACTGAAAGAAAAAAAAAGGTAGTAAAAATTTGTAGGTTTGCCAGGTGCTGGGGCTCATATCTGTAATACTAGCTACCTGGGACACTAAGATCTGAGGATCAGAATCCAAGCCAGCTGAGGCAGGCAAGTCTGTAAGACTCTTATCTCCAATTAACTACCAAAAAGCTAGAAGTATAGGTATGGGTCAGGTGATGGAGCACTAGTCTTGAGCAAAGAAGCTCAGGGACAGTTTCCAGGCCTTGAGTTTAAGCCCCAAGTTGGGCGTGTGTGCACACGAACATGTGTGCACACACACACACACACACACACACACACACACACACACACACACACACACAGGCTTGTGTACTGGTGACTCACATCTATAAATTCTTTGACTTTTAAAAAATTATGTCAATCAAGCTCTATACATGTTACACTGCTAAATGAAATCAGAAACCAGAAAATTTCACTCTTAAGAGCATTAAGTCACTGCAACTGTAAAGACAACTTTTAGAGAAAATATCTACAGGAAGGCTTTTATAAAATCAATTAAGGCATTTCTCAAGTAGTTTCAATTTTGGAAGATGTTTTTATTAAAGTATGTGTCCATGTGTTTGTATACAAACACATATACACATGCACATATATCTGTGCATATATGTGTGAAAGTAGATTTTTTATATTCTGTATGAACCCATATTTTTAATAGAATAGAGAACTTAAATATACCTGGCACTGTCTACAAGCTGCTCATACTGAGTCATGTCTCTTTGGTAATTCAGTTGTTTTCAATTTATTTTAGGAACAGGCAGAGCAATTTTTGTACTAGGCTGTTCCGGTCACTCTAGGGTGATGTCAGCTTGTCATCGCTGCAACAGCTGCATGGTAATAACTTCCTGGTAGCACATAATATCATTGTAGGTATAATTCATTTCCCCCCATAGAGATGATTTTTTTTCTAATTTCTCTCAAAATTTATAGTAACAGTAAAAGGCAAATGAAAGGCACAGTCCTGCATATTAAGAGGTAGTAACATATCCTAGCAATGCCTCCATATTCAGGTAAACTGAAGTAAAACATTCAAATTTCTCTGTCATTTTTCTCATCTACAATCAGGGACAGGAAGACGACTGGAATATCAGGAAGAGAAGGAGAAAGAAGAGGAAAAGTGAGGAAGGGAGGGATAGGCCATCTATGGTGGCAAACATTTAATATCCCAACATCTAGGAGGCTGAGGCAGGAAAATCTCTAGTCTGAAGACAGGTTGGTACACAGGAAGGCCCTGTGTTTAAAAACAAACCAAAAGAAGATAAGGCCCACAAAACTTGTTAATTTTATTTTAGGTTTTAGTTTTCCTTGGGCATTAATAAATGATTTTTACATTCTTTCTCTAATATTTGTCTTGCAATTGAATAACTATTGGAAGCCATGGAAACATCATGTCCGGCAAATCATAACTGTTTCTATAAAAAGATCAGAAAAGAAAAACACCAAGACTATCTAGTGAGACAAAAACTGTTTCCTTAACGAGTCTGCATGGTTAAAAAAACAGTATTTGCCAGAGATTTTTAACCAGCTTATCAGGCATATAGCACTTTTGCTCTTTTTCCAATAATTTCCAAGAAAGAACTCTCATGTTTGCACTGTAAGTGAACAATGATAACACCTTATACTTAAGTCTAAGTCTCTGAATGTAATAAATTTAAAAACTGCAAATAAATGTATGAGATCATTAGTCTAGTCAAAAATATTTTTCTATGAAATGCTTCTAGAAAGCTTCTTTATTCCATTACAGAAACTGAATAATTCAAGAGAGCATTATCCTGTTTTGATCTGAATCCTCTATGCCACCCTAAGACCGGGCTTGGTACATACTACAAATATTTATTTGCAGGATGAACAAGGGTTTTTTAATGGCTCCTCCAACTTTCTATCCCACCCTCCTAAAACACTACATAACAAATTTCTTGGTTCTATTTGAGGTTGTCTAAATGAGTAGTTATGAGTACTAGAGAATGACTAATTATTTGTGTCATTTCCACTGTAAAAAGTAAAGAGCCAAGCCAAGCTTTGATTTTACCTTCCTTTTATCCTCAAAGGAAACCACACACATTATGAATCTTAACCAGCCCAGTTGACCTTCCCCAAACCAAACATACACAGAAACAACCACCAACACTCCAACAGTTTAGAAAACTATCCTGTATTTAGAACTTGACACTAAAATGGAGAACAGAATACCTGAGGCACTGATTCCCTTTCTAATGTCATATAATTTCTTCTCTTATCCATCATGTAGACATGGAATAGGATTTTTTTGTGAGGGGGTGCCAATCCTGGGACTTGAATTCAGGGCCTGGATGATGTCCCTAAACTTTTTTGGCTCAAAGCTAGCACTCTACCATTTAAGCCACACCTCCACTTTTGGCTGGAGATAAACAATCTCATAAACTTTCCTGCCCAGGTTAGCTCCAAACCTTGGCTCCTTAGATCTCAGCTTCCTATATTCATTGAACACCGTGTGTGTGTGTGTGTGTGTGTGTGTGTGTGTGTGTGTGTGTGTGTGTGTGTGTGTGTGTGTGTGTGTGTGTGTGTGTGTGTGTGTGTGTGTGTGTGTGTGTGTGTGTGTGTGTGTGTGTGTGTGTGTGTTCGTGTTCAAGGTAAAGATGTTCAGCCTATTTTCTAGGAAAAGACGCTGAATCTCTGCAAGGCTGAGGGATCTCTTCATCTTTTAAACATTTAGTTAATGTTAGGTACTACAAAAGTGTAACAAAAAAATGTACCAACAGAATTGACCCTAATTTTAAGCATTTATCAGCATGTATTGGAATTTATACATATTCATCACAAATAATAAAGTACTTATTTACTTTTTAAAAATTATTGTGTAAATTTTTTAAATGTTATTACAGATGATTAAAATACCAATTTATTTGAAGAAAATACTTATATTCAACTTTTCCATAACATACTTAGATGGATGCTAATTTTATCCATTCTAATATATGCTTCATCCTCTCTACGAAGCTGTCTTTTCTTCATAACAAGCAAAAATAATTTCTTCTCCAAATACCACATAAATGTATGGCTTTTCTATGAATCACTGTAAATTGTATACACAAGTATATAATTGTATAACTATATACTATATACAATATAGTTATATTGTATAATACAATATAGAATACAATATACAATATAGTTATATTGTATATAATATATACGGTATGCAATATAATTATATTGTATATTGTATAACTATAT